TCCCCCCCCCCCCCCCCCCATCGCCTACCACCATTCCCCGTCCTTTCGCCTTTCTTATTTTTTTGTCTGGGGTAAGAACTTGAGTATATATTTCACTGGCTCCAATAAAATTTAATGCAGATGCTATTTTGAATAAATAAATCAAGTGCTAACCTGGCCATAGGGGAGTCACCCCCCTGTATCCGCCCCCGTAGTACCGGTGACAGACAGTTTTCAGTCCATTTGAATCGTTTGGCCGCTATTGTTTGCGGTATTGTTTGCGGTATTGTTTGCGGTATTGTTTGTTTACTTACAGCTTCCGTGATATTGGCTAGAGTAGCCGAATTCAGTCCGTGTTAAAGGGTGAATCAGCTCTGCCATTCGTGACGAGGGCGAAAGGCTGCGGGGTGCCCATAGCAACAGGGAGAAAGTGGATGCATGAAGAGGATGTTCGCGGTCGGCATGGGGGGAGGGGGTGGAAGGGGGTGGAAGGGGGTGGAAGGGGGTGGAAGGGGGTGGAAGGGGGTGGAAGGGGGTGGAAGGGGGGCCACTTCACTTTCCATCCTCGATGTAACATTTGGATTCCCGAATTTAGTTCAAAACAAACGCGTTCAAACAAACAAAAAAAACGACAGACTCTTGCATGCGAGTGAAACTCATCAAGAAAGAAAAGGTCCAGAATCATTTCTTTCCCGAAACAACAGGGGGGGGGGGCGAAAGGTAAACAAGGGCCCGGTTGAAGTGTAAACCTCGCTTTCGCGATAAGCTTGTTGTTGGCCGAAACCACAGAGAAAAGCAGCCCGCCTGAGCCAGGATGAGGCGCCCGAATGCTCATCGTCGAGATTCGGCGCTATCACGGAAACGTCTCTCGTTTTTGTCACCGAGAAACAAGGAAAACCGGCACTATTTACCTCGGGGGAAACGTGAACCGACCCCAAGCCAGTCCAGTGTTCAGAAACTCAGACACGATTTCACGAATCTCGCCACGAAAGGTAGAACCCACCGAGGGCGATCCGACACGCATCCCGCGATCGCTGACCCCGAGGAAATAATCGGACCAGTTCGACAACATTTCACTTGCTAGAGGGAAATTGGAGATAACCGGTCGTGAGGCTGTGGTGGTCCGACGACCGACGGGTTTCTCTCCGTGCATTGCATTCGAATGCAGTTTCACTCGAAAGGGCAGCTGGGGGTCAATGGAACCCAAAAGGCGACCTGACTAGCAGGAGCGTGACCCCTCGCGTTTCCGATCTGGTTCATTTTTTATTTTTTAAATACAGGGTGCGGCACAAAAATGTCCCTCATTTTGAAAGCTGATTTTAAAAAAATGCTATTACCGATATCGGTGTTTACATACTGATTCAGAGGAAAACTCTCCAAGTTTGATCTAATTACATGATATTCTCTAAATGACCTCCCCGAAGGTCAGCACACTCGCGCACACGCAGTTTCCGAACGCAGCTTCAAGAGTTTCACGCTGAACTGAGCATCTGCCCAAGCAGCAAGCAGCTGCCGACCCGGTATTTTCACCCACGAGCCGCCACTGGAAATGAACTCGAAAAGTGACAGGACTTGTGGGAGGCGTGACCAAAAAAGTCCTGACCCCGCGCGGTTCCAGTGTCAGATGTAGGAAAACTCTGAGTAACGCCGAGTTCGTTTCAAGTTTCGCTTTCTCGAACTTGCGAGATATCGCATTTTATTATCGTCGTTCTCACCGATTCAGAGCGCAGATCACATGAGAATAAGCCAAACATCAGTATTACGTTAGAATGACCACTATAAGCTTCGCAAATGCAAAAATTAGTCAAGTTGACGGTGCCCAACTGCAAAGATGATGCGCGCTGGGGTTCAGGTGAGCCCTGTAAGGCTTTTTCCACTCATTCGAAACCGCAAGAACGACAAAGCAAAAGTCAGTAAATGGATTAAAATATGAGCAAAAGGAAAATATTTCAATCAAAATTGGAAACTGCTATTTCTTTCTCGCCGTCAGTTTGCTTCCACGAAGCCTTTCGGCTTCTCGTCACCTAAAATAATAATAATAATAATTAGTAAAAGGGGAAACATTGACGGAAATTTTTCTATGTTTCTATGGATTCTATTTTTTTCTGTGCGAAGTGGAAAGTAAAAGAATTCCTCAAGTTTCATTGTTCCTCCACTAGTTCAATTTGGCACTGACGGAATTCTCATTATCCTTCTTGGTGTCATTTTCCGCATAGAGATTCGAGTATTTCGTCAATTTTCCTTCTCCTTTAAAGTTTTTCGATTCAAGAAACGTCCACAACTCCAATGTCCATATATCTTCAAGTTACTCTTGCGATCCCGTCTGTAAACGCAAATTCAACTTCGACTCAACTCAACTCAAAGAATCCAACTTCTGCGATGTTTACGTAAAATTCCATCAACTGCCACACTATCCATCTGGAGCTTCAGCATAATTTCTGCTGCGGAAAAGGGCAATCAGCATCCAACTGGAATTGAACTTGGGAATTCGGCCATTCCCAGCAGGGGCCATTTCCCACTTCATCCGGATTTGTAATCGTTTTCGTGAGGAAATGCAGAGCTTGTTCCATGTGAAAATTTTCATAATAAATTTTACATCTGCAACAGTAAGGCTCTTTCCCAAAGAGGTTCACTTTTATTTGTAGCTGGAACGGACGTTAAACGTGATGGCCTCACCTTGTGCGAGTCTTCACACTTGAGCGAGGGTTTGGAGCTCCCTCCGTCTCACCTTCCCGGCCGGACAGAGGGGGATCTCGTCCAGGAAGGCCACGCCTCCCTTCAGCCAATGCTCCTCGCTCAGTCGACCTAAGAGATATCACCGGCGAGTCTTCATCTTTCTTTTACAGGAACTGTTGGGAGCATGGATTCGTAGGACAAAATTGGGTTCAACGAAAGCACCCATGGTAACACTGTTATTTCAAAATGCGTAATTTTATGAAACTTTCGATTTCTGCTATCTTCAAGAGTAACATGCTGTTCTGGTGTCTAATGTTTCCCTTGTTACCACTGCATATAACACAGAAAATATTACTAAAAGTACAGGGTGATTTTATAAACAGTTCTTAGTTTCCAATCCGCATAACTTTTTTAGCAATAACATTTCGGAATCCAAATTTGCACAGAACATGAAGAAGGCATGGGATATTCGTGTGGGTTCAAAAACATGGATGAATCATGGGAAAATATTCTAGGTGGCAATGCTGAAGCAATATGGCCTCCTTCACAGAGGAGCAGAAATTGTTCCTGGTGAAATGGTATTTCAAGCAAAACAAATTGCCTGTAAATGTGCAAAAACAGTATCGACGGCGCTTTCAGACCAGGAATGCACCATCCAAAAAGACTAATACCAGACTTCTTATGCAGTTCGAATCGAAAAGCGATGTTAGGGACCGTCAAAGGGGCCATTCCGAACATCCCATCACAGTGCGCGTCCCCCGCAAAATATCTCTCTTGCCGGACGAATGTAAACTCGCAATCCCAGAAAGAGCGTCCGAAGAGCTTCATAACTTTATATCTCGTATTCAGCAACATGGATGAGTTTCTATACCAGTATTTCTGCATGTCCATACAAAATTCAGATTCACCAACGGGCGACGGAAATTCACGTGGTGAAACGTTTTCCGTTCGCACTGAGGCAATCTTCCCATGTTATTCCCAATTATTCTCTCCGTCCGGCGCCATATGATTAATGAAAATGGATGTCAGGTCGGACATGTCATGTTCTGATGAATGAGCCCACTTGAATCTCCCATGTCATCTACAATTTCTGTGAAAATTTGGCTACTACAATGTCGTTATAATAAAAGTTATATGAACAGGACATTAGGAATTGTTTTAAAATTCACCCTGTGAGTACCTATGTGCTAATTTTGTTACATGGCTTGGGGCTTACCGGATTTGGCACATAACATTGGAAATTAAATTTGATGATTTTCTTCTCCTCTCACTTCTCCTATCGTTTCTCTTTGAAACTCAGGTTCATATCCCCCTTAGATTTTCTTGATTTATTTTAGTTTAATATTGTCACTTCCGGATCCTTACGAGAGACGAAGTCCTGAAGTTCCTCAGCGGTCTCAGCGGATTTTGACCGCTGATTCTTGAGCTTCACGAAGGCCCGAGGGACCTGGACATCCGGGGTCTCCGCCGATATTTGGACCCCCGTCACACCGACCCTCTCCACGTCCGAATGTTGATACAAACAGTCCTCGATCTCCGACGGAGAAACCTGCACGAACGAAAACGGCGAACTGAAATGAAGGCAATAACTACGCGAATCAGTGGACGACTGTAATAGGCGACTGGATAAATAAAACGCTAACAAAATATAGAGAGCACACCACTGACCAGCTGCTCCCAATCGGAGGACACGACCGGCATGAGCTCCTTCACCCGGTCGATCACGTAGACGTATCCGTCCTCGTCGATGTAGCCGTAGTCCCCCGAGCGGTAGAACCCATCCTCGTGCATCACCTCCTTGTTCAGCTGCAAGAGAGAACATCACAGTCGCAACCTCGTCGATCAGGATTATCATGACGTCACGACCGCTCACCTCAGCTGGCGACCGATACCCTCGCATGAGAGACGGCGCGCGATAGCACAATTCTCCCTTCTCCCTGGGTCCAAGCGCCTCCCACGTCCCGAGCTTTACCACCTAAGAGAAAAATAAGAGATAAAAAGAGAATCCGGGGAATATCACTGAGGGAAGGTGGAGGAGGAGAAGCGTCTCACCTTCCCTTCCATGAAGGGGAGCAGGGGTCCCCCGGATCCCCTCTTGGGTCCTGCGTGGGCGAGATACCCCGCCGTCAATACCATCGTCTCTGTCGAGCCGTAGATCTATGATCAGAGGTTAAGGAGGGGGGGGGGGATCGGAATAAATAAATAAATAAGTGAATAAAGTGAAATAAAAGGAAGTATACGGACTGTGGCAAAAAGTCGATCCCGAAGTCCAAAAAAAAAGTATACATCATGAAAACTTTTAAAGAAAATCAATAAACAAAACATTTAGGCAATACACTCCGATAACTTGGTCCATGATCTCCACATAAAACGAAATCCACGCGCTAAAAAAAAAAATAGTTACAAAGCGAAACTTTCTAGCCACACCTCGTCTACTCCTGAAATACTACTCCTCCGCGATGCCTCTTACTCTCCCCAAAGTTATTGCCCCAGTAGATAGGAGGATTCCCCAATGCAAAAGCGATACGACAGAGATGAGACACTGACATCGATGAATTCTTTGATGTTTGGGAGCTTCTCCCTCAATTGATCCAAGACGACCGAACCGGTGTGAGTCCCTCCGTAGATGACCATCTCGAGGCTGTCCAGGCGGAACTGCTTCGTCAGGTCACTCCGGGCCAGGTTTACCACCTCCCTCGGGGTGGTCGTCAACACGCGGGGCTACGAAAGAGGGGGAGATAAGAGTCCTGATGAAGGGGCCCCCTCCTTTATACTGGGTATACATGGAAGGCTCTTTGACTGACTTGGTATCGTTGAATGGCGGATAAGACGCCGGGGAAGTCGGTGGCTCGGGCGGTCACGAGATGGTACCCGATCAGCAACCCCATCACCGATGACATGTATCCCCCCAACGCTCCGAACTGAAGGGAACTAACCGTCGTCACTCCGATACTCTCCCCGGGTTTTCTGAAAAACAGAAAAGAAAAGCCCGTCCGATTCAAACTGTCCCTCTATTGGACTGAGACACTTGCCACCAAGCTACGAGCATAGTAAATTCATCGATAGTCAACATATTAAGATAAAACGCAAACGAATATGCTATGTACATGTGGGCGTTAAATTCCTCGAAATTGGCCAGTAAATTTTCTTTCCAGGACTTTCTGCAAAGTTTCGATTTTAATAACGTTCACGATTTTACTATACCGAAATGCCATCAGCTTACTCAAACGTCTTCCCTGTGAAAAATCCGTCAGACTAAATCTTAAACAGGAACCGCTAGACAGCCAACCTCCCCCCCTCCCTACCACCGACCCAGTGATGCCAGATATCTCGACCTGTCGATGTTGATGCATCCGGCGATGAAGGAGGCGTGGGTGTGCTCGATGGTCTTGGACGCCCCCGTCGTCCCGCTCGTGTAGAACACCGCCACCACGTCCTCGCTCGGCCTCAGCCCCGACTGGCTCGGGAAGTCTGTAGAGAAAACACACGTACATAAAACACTGGGAATTACTGAGCCCAATATTACTCACTGGCCCACTAGCTCGCTGTAAACTTTTACTGCTTGATGAAACTATCACGACAGAGTATGAATTCTGTCATCTGGCTCCCTGCTTGGAAATTACATGTATTAATAATTAAAAAATCATCATAAATTATAGTTACTATGAAGTGAAACCAAACTTAATGCAGATGGTTTGACATCCATATCCAATATGGCATATTTGTAACAAATGACGCTTGGAGATTTAAGAAAATTTACATCTAACCGCCCGTCTTCCGAAATGTATTGGAATCGTCGCAACCTCTTCAATCCTCTCGGAACTCCGCTGGCTCAGTGAGTTCCAGCACCACCGAGTCGACTGGACGCGAGTGTAATAAGAGTCACAAGCCGCATCATCAGTCGGCAAGTAGGTCCCAACCTCGGTGAACGCCCGCGGACCGCGTCGGGTTCTGCTAGATAGAGCCCGACCCGCTCCGCATCTACACTCACTGCTCCCGTCGTCCTCCTCGTAGAGAGTCCTTGCCTCGACGGTCCCCTCTGGCCCTGGGCCGAAGGTGAACACTTCCTTCACACTCTCGCAGTTCTTCACTAGATCGCTGAACTCCGGAGAGCAGAACACAAACTCCACCTCCTCTCGCTGACACAGTTCCGCCATGTGATCTGACGGGGAAAATATATATAACTTATTCACACAACATAAGCACAAATCACGACACGAATGGCTGCAGTATGAACCTCAGGGTCATCTGTGGTCAACTTTTTGCACCCTAAATAATATATTTCCATTAATGAACCCAAACGTTTTAATGGTCATCCCCTAGTCGTAATGATTTCTGCTGTCTAATCTTGTTTCATTCCAAGAATGAGATTTCTTCGATTCTTCCTTCTCTCGATCTTTTCACAGGGAAATGATGTGGCATCAGTCTCTAAAAATCGATTATTAGATCCTTGTAGATCCAGATCACAAAGTAATTCTGTGTCAAGTATTATCTTCTTCCCTTTGATTCTCGAAGACTTGGAAAGAGGCCCATTCTCCTTTTACACGCTCAAGCAATCAGCAATTGAATCTAAATGCCATCTTCCGGAAAGGAAAGAGGAAGAAAAACATACGAACCGGCGGCGTAGGGAGGAATGATGAGAGAAGTGACCCCACACGCAATGGCGGCCCAATTGGCAACGGCGTAATCCACGTGGTTGTTACCAAGGAAGCAGACGACAGAAGAGGGGCGGAGTCCCAGTCCGCGCCTGCGCAGCGCCGACGCGGCCCGCCTCACCCTCCCTTCCACTTCATTGAAACGCAGGACCTCCCCGGTCACGGCGTCTGTCTGCAAACGCCCAAGAAATCCCACTGACATTCGAGATTCGCGATCGTGGTGTTGCTGTCCGTCGGGGTACGAAGTCCAACTCGAAATTCCGAGGGACGTTTCGGCTCGCATGAGGGTGTCAGAAAACTCGAGGCGACAGTAATAATTATCAAGAGACCTGGTGAGTCGTCATTGGGAATTTCCCAAATTCTCTTTAATTTTCTTTTCCAGTTCCGTGAGGAATTGAATCGCGAGGACCGTCGCCGCCGTCAAGTTTGGATCCGACGCGACACTACAGCCACCACACGACTCGTTGGGGAACTACAACCCCGAAGTAAGAATTAAATGAGTAGTCGTATGTCAAGCAATAAAAGAAATGTAAAATGTTGGCACATACAGGTTTGCCCATGAAGAAAAGCTGCAATACTTTAGCATTCACAGACACGCCAAACTCAAAAGGTTACACCCAAGAGTTTCGAAACTCCTTTGGATCCTAGATTGACCCGTTGAAGGAGGTAACTCGGCGGAAGGAGACTCGAAGTACTGCTGGCCAGAGGGTCCGAGGAGACATGCTGACGTTTCTAAAGTCTCCCCATTGCGCTCGTGGGACCTCGAGCAGTTCTTTCTTTCTTGAGAAGGCTAGAGCGTGATAATTGGGCTTGCGGGGATTGTACTTGTACTTGTGCAGGGGAAGTGTACTTCCCCTGCCTGAAGTGTACTTCCCCTGCCTGGCGGAAAGAGTTGCGTCACTGGAATAAGCAGCTCGAATTCTGATCCAATTGATCCATGGTCTTCTTCGGGATGTTAGTACTAAATAGAGTACTATCATCAATAGGATGTACGATGTACGGTTTAAAAGTTGTTTACCAAACGGGTGAAATAAATGGTTTAGAAAAAATAAATTTTGTTTGTTTGGGACGACATTGCTTCAACATCCAGGCAAACTTTTGCAAAACATTGAGGCAACATTGTCACGTTGAAAAATCAACCTTTGCTCAATGTCGACACAACCTTGCTGTGCCGAATGGGGTTTTATGACGGCCCTCGACTTTCGTCCCTTCCTCTATAATAAACCTCACGGACAACTGGGAAGGCACAGTTGATTATAAAATATAATTATAGTTAATCACAGTTTACAGCTTTAAAAATACATTCGAAAAATGTAGTCGAAATGTGATCGACGGTCGTCGAAACTCACGATGAACGGCTGATCCCCGAACTTAGCCGGATTGTTGAGGCGGAAGAAGAAGTCGAAGAGAGTGACGTCACGCGGGGCATCCGACACGCGATAGCGCGGAGACCGCGCGATCTTCCCGACCCAGCTCATCTCTGAAAGAGGAATGGGACGAGGGAGGGAGGGAGGATGGAGGGAGGATGGAGGGAGGATGAAGGAGTCAAGAGGCATCACGACCTTCAAGCATTTCCTTAAGCGCAGTGAAGGTCGCGAGGGCGACGGAAAGCTGCTGGGACGCTGGAATAAATGACAGCGGCTTCATTCGGATTTCCCTCTTTTCTCTCCGAGGAAACTTTCGGTCGAGAGACGGATGCGGCCTCCGCGAATCGTCCGATTCCCGTTTCCGCTTCGAATTTCCGCCGTCGCGACGTCGCAGGAACGTGCTCGAACGGATTGCAGGCGTGACTTCTATCACGTGCGGGTTCCTCGCCGAGATGCAAGCGGGTTTCGCAAACGGATCTTTCTTCTTCTGTCCTTTTAATCCCTTCGCCGACGACCGGCCCCGATCGTATGTCGTCGCGGACGTCGCAGGGAAGGGCGAGCCTGACGTGACTGGATTTCCTCGCACAAAGAAAAAAGGGAATCGGCTTTAATTCTCGCCTAATTCCGTGAAAAAAAAAGAAACTAGAGCTTACCGATGGCCACATTTGGCCGATGGGCGTTTAGTGTTCTCGTACCTAGCGGCCGGTCCCAGAAATGTTAAAATTATTCCTATTAGGAAGCCACGTTGTATTGCATTGGGGGTATCACGCCTCGTGTTTCCGAAGCATACATGCATGGGAACATACAAACAAACATGGGAATAGGGGGGAGGCGGGGAGGGGAATTGGGGAGGTGGGGAGGGGGACGGATTGAATCTTTCCTCGCCGCAATTAGGCAGAAGTTGGACTTCCATCGTTTCTTGCCTCTATCCAGGGCACAGACCTCCATTCGTCTTTCAGAATATCTTGCCAGCGATCGGGAAACCGGGACCATCGAGTCCACCATACCTCCCACGACGGGAAGTGACATCCATGCGTTCGTGGATCAGAACGGCAAGAGTTTCTTTTTTTTCCACTGTTGTGCGTGAGAGGCGGTTACCGAGCGGGGCTCGCGTCTTTCCGTTTTCTCTGTTCTGCACGTTCTTCGTTGGATACCGGCACCGGCGACCTGCCAACCTGCCGATGACCGATGCCGGCGATAGTGCCAAACCGGCGGCCGATACATAAGAACAGTACTTAAAAAAAAAAAGAAGTTGGAACGAAACCGCATCGACCGCCTATGGGAAGATCGCGCGGTCTCCGCGCTATCGCGTGTCGGATGCCCCGCGTGACGTCACTCTCTTCGACTTCTTCTTCCGCCTCAACAATCCGGCAAAAAAGTGGGGGGGGGGGGGAATTATTTTATTTTTATTTTTATTGAAACTTAAAGAATATTTTTTAAATTTTCTAATTGAATATTTTGACACCTACACCCTCCTACAACCCCCTTCTCTCTCTAATCACAATAAACACAATGTGTATCGGCATTAGCCTCAACCGAAGTTTGAGATCCGTAGGCATGTAAAGAACGTCTCGATGGGGCGTGCCAGTTCCTCTGTGAACCGATCACGCCTGTTGTGCCAGGGCTCTTTTCCTGCGCGTAAGCAAGGAGAAAGTTGGGGTGAAAATCGGGAAATTGCCACAGGAGCGAATGGTGAAGAGCTGCCATGATACCAAAAAGTATGGCTTCCAATTCCAGCACGCATGTCAGTACAGTTCCTTTGGTCGTGATATCTCCAAGTCTTTTTCTTACCCTCCCCCCCCCGCCCCCCCCCCTTTCACCCCTTCACCCCTTCCCTCCGGCCATAACGCCACAAGTTGCCAGATCCACCGACTTGCTATCCCCAATGAATCGCTACTTATCCGTAAAGGGCAATCAACCTTAGCCCTTTCCCTCACCGACTGGAAGATACCAAGTATTCCAAATTCGCATGCAGGATGGACCACTCGAAAGGTACATATAATTATGCATAATTATAATATATAATTATATAATCAATGTCATTAATAAAGGTGTAATTAATTACAAATAACGAGAGGGATGCAGCCCTCCCTCCGCCCAGGTTGCCACCCGCCGTTCGCCTTCCCTTCAGCCTGCCGTAAACTGTTTTTCCTTCGACGTCGATTTCATGGACGCGTGAAGGCGGGGTTCTTTCGGGCTTCTCTTCATTCAAGCAAGAGAAATGAAAAAAAAAAATAGACAGGACTCGTGGTGGGCGAGACCCCAAAGGTCTTGCCCCCACGCGTTTCCTTAGTCAGACGTAAGAAAGTATAACTCCAAGTTCGTTTTAAGGTTCGTCTTCTCGAATATGCCAGAAATCGCATTTTATTATCGTCGTTCTCACCGATTTATAGCGCAAACCACAAGACAATCAGCCAAACATCCGTCTTGCTTGAAAATGACCGTTAAAAGCATCGCAAATACAAAACATGAGGAAAGTCAAGGGTAGCCCAACTGTAAACATGTTGCGCGTTGGGATTCAGGTGAGCAGTATTAAGCTATCTGCACTCATTCGAAACGACAAAGCAAGCGTCAGTAAATGGATTAAAATAGAGACGAAGGAAAATATTCCAATCGAAATTGGAAAACATTTCAATTGCTTTTTCGCCGTCAGTTTGCTTCCACGAAGGCTTTCGACCTCTGGTCACCTGAAAATAATAATAAATGAATAAAAGGGGGGACATTGAAGGAAATGCTGTGATCATATGATTTTCAGTGCTAAGTGGTAAGTAAAACAATTGCTAAAGTTTCCTTGTTAGAATATCTCCACCACTTATTCAATTTGGCGCTAACGGACGTCTCATTGTCCTTCTTGGTGTCATTTCTTGCATAGAGATTCGAGTAATTTGTTATTTCTCCTTCTCTCTTAAACTTTTTCGATTCAAGAAATGTCCAAAACGATGGGTGAATACCTATCGTTCGCAAACTCAACTTCAACTCAACTAATCCAACTTCAGCGGTGCCTACATGATACTCCCAAAAACTACCATCTGGAGGTTTATAAAAAATTCTGCTACGAAAAGGGCAGTTTCCAGCTAAAAGCTCAGGATCCAACTGGAAGTAAACTTGGGAATTCGACCATTCCCAGCAGGGGCCATTTCCCACTTCATCCGGATTTGTAATCGTTTTCGTGAGGAAATGCAGAGCTTGTTCCAGGTGAACTTATTCACAATAAAATTTACAACCTGCGTCAACAGCAAGGCTCTTTCCCAGGGAGATTCGCTTTTATTTGTAGCTAGAACGGACGTTAAACGTGATGGCCTCACCTCGTACATGCGAGTCTTCACACTTGAGCGAGGGGTTGGAGCTCCCTCCGTCTCACCTTCCCGGCCGTGCAGACGGGGATCTCGTCCAGGAAGGCCACGCCTCCCTTCAGCCAATGCTCCTCGCTCAGTCGACCTAAGAGATATCACCGGCGAGTCTTCATCTTTCTTTTACATGAACTGTACAAGGATTCGTAGGATAAAATTGGGGTTAACGGAAGCACCCATAGTAACACTGTTATTTCAAAATGCAAAATCCAAATGCAAACTTTCATGAAACTTTCGATTTCTGCTACCCTCAAGAGCAGCATGCTGCTCTGGTGTCCTGTGTTTCCCTTGTCACCAGTGCATATAGCAAGGAAAATATTGCTTAAAAGTAAGCGTCTATGTGCTTATTTAGTTACATGTCTTGCGGCTTACCAGATTTGGCACTTCAAGTTAGAAATTAAATTTTGTGATTTTTCCTCTCCTCTCACTCCTCGCGTCGTTTCTGTTTGGAACTCGGGTTCATATCCCCCTTAGATTTTCTTGATTCATTATAGTTTAATATTATCACTTCCAAATCCTTACGAGAGACGAAGTCCTGAAGTTCCTCAGCAGTCTCAGCGGACTTGGACCGCTGGTTCTTGAGCTTCACGAAGGCCCGAGGGACCTGGACATCCGGGGTCTCCGCCGATATTTGGACCCCCGTCACACCAACCCTCTCCACGTCCGGGTGTTGATACAAACAGTCCTCGATCTCCGACGGAGAAACCTGAACGCGCGAAAACGGCGAATTGAGACGAAGGCAAAACTACGCGAATCCTGCAATAAGCGACTGGATAAATAAAACGCAAAATATAAGAAGTGACCATATATAGAAGGATTAATTTTTCATTCAATTGGGGAAAAAAAACCCTCAGAATTTCTTAACCTCGTAAAAACGAGTCATTTGTAAATTCTCAGTCACCCATATAATCAGAAGGATGTGCGAGTAAACTTTCAACCCATAATCCCTCCGGTTTTAATACCACTTTTTGCTTGTGCCCGATATGATGAAACCAAATAAAATTAGGAGTGTTTAAAAGTAAAAAAAAAAGTTTACAATATAATTATTTTCCTTCCGGAAAATAATTTGGCTCATATTGAGTTAAGTTCTTTATTGTTATTATTATTTTTAGGGAGGATTGGTTCTTCTAGTGAAAAATGGATGGGAATATGTGAAATGAAACTCTCATATCGCCTGAATATTGCACATTTGCTCGCTGGCAACTGGCCCAATTGAGAGCTTGAGAGCGTAAGGGAACCCCATTACATTAGAATGGACACAAGCGGATGGGACGAGAGCCCAAAGAGAGGGGACGAGCTCTGAAGTGTCGGGCCGTTCGGGAACGGAGACGGGAGGAAGGGCGCGGAGGAGGATGGGAGGCATCCATGACCAACAGGAATGGCTTTGCAGAGTTGCTGCAAAGAATTTCAGAGTTTTTTTTTGCGGCTTTCCCGCAAAAATCCAGTCCTATTGACCATTCGTCGGCATTTGTACAATAGAGATCTTTCAGTCATCGTGACGTGACGCGTCGAAATGTACCAATGACTGAGAGTTTCAAGCAAAAAAATGTTCAGCATCTCCTCTGGTCCATCCACTTCCCCGTACTCCATAGCTAATTCCAGGCAAAGGGTTCGTTTTCTAACCACTTACTTTCCTATTCCGTGAAATCATACAAATACCACCTTTCTCTCTTCCCATCCTCCAGAGTCCAGCTGACCCCGAAGCTGGACATCCAGCCCACCTCATAGAGAGTACAACACTGACCAGCTGCTCCCGATCGGAGGACACGACCGGCATGAGCTCCTTCACCCGGTCGATCACGTAGATGTACCCGTCCTCGTCGATGAAGCCGTAGTCCCCAGAGCGGTAGAACCCGTCCTCGTGGACCACCTCCTTGTTCAGCTGCAAGAGAGGACATCACAGTCGCGAGCTCGTCGATCAGGATTATCATGACGACCGCTCACCTCAGCTGGCGACCGATACCTTCGCATGAGAGATGGCGTGCGATAGCACAATTCTCCCTTCTCCCTGGGTCCTAGCGCCTCCCACGTCTCCGGCTTCACCACCTATAAGAAAAGGTAGAGAGAAAAGGGAGAACATCGCTGAGGGAGGGTGGAGGGGGAGAGGCGACTCACTTTCGCTTCCATGAAGGGGAGCAGGGGTCCCCCGGATCCCTTCTTGGATCCTGCGTGGGCAAGATATCCCGCCGTGAGGGCCATCGTCTCCGTGGAGCCGTAGATCTTTGACCAGAAGGGAGAGAAGGAATCGGAATAAATCATTAAAGCGAAATGAAAGGAAATCCACGGACAGTTGCAAAACGCCGATCCCAAAGTCCAGTAAAAAAAAAATAATAAATACTAATAATAATGTCATGGAAACTTTCAAAGAAGTCCAATAAAAATAATTTAGACAATACACCCCGAAAACTTGGTGCAGGACCTCCACGAGAAACAAAATCCAGGCATTAAAAGAAATAGTAACAAAGCGGAACTTTCTAGCCACACCTCATCTACTACAAATACTACTCCTCTCACTCTCCTCAAAGTTATTGCCCCAGTAGATTGGAGGATTCCCCCATGCAAAAGCGATAAGATAGAGATGCGACACAGACATCGATGTATTCTTTGATGTTCGGAAGCTTCTTCCTCAATTGATCCAGGACGACCTGACCGATGTGAGTCCCTCCGTAGACGAACATTTCGAGGCTGTCCAGGCGAAACTGCTTTGTAAGGTCGTTCCGGGCCAGGTTTATCACCTCCCTCGAGTTGCACGTCAACACGCGGGGCTGCGAGAGAAGAGGAGGCAGAGTTCTGATGGAGGGGGGAGGGAGAGCCCTGTACGGGAGTTTCTCGTATCCGGTAGGTTACAAGGCTGACCTGGTATCTATGAACGGCGGATAGGATGCCAGGGAAGTCGGCGACTTGAGTAATCACGAGATGGTACCCGATCAACAATCCAAGCAGCGATGCCATGTATCCCCCCATCGCTCCGAACGAAAGGGAACAAACCGTCGACACCCCGATACTCTCCCCGGGTTCTCTAAAAAAAAAAAATGGCCGGTCCGATCCTATCCGTCCCTCTATTTGGCTGAGGCCCTTGCTACAGAGCTACGAGCATCGTGAATTTACCGATAAGTCACCATATTAAGACAAAACTCCTACGGATCTGCAACGTCCCTTTGGGTGTTTAATTCCTTGCAATTGGTCAGTAAATTACCTTTCCAGGGCATTCTGCAAAGTTCCTACTTTAAATACGTTCGAGATTTTATCATACCAAAATGCCATCAGCTTACTCGAACGTCTTAATTTCCAAAAATTCCCCGTCAGACTAAATCCAAACAAGAACTGCCAGACAGCCGAACCCCATCCCCCCTCCCCCTCCCGTCCCCCGACCTGTCGACGTTGATGCATCCGGCGATGAGGGAGGCGTGGGTGTGCTCGATGGTCTTGGGCGGCCCCGTCGTCCCGCTCGTGTAGAACACCGCCACCACGTCCTCGCTCGGCCTCAGCTCCGACTGGCTTGGGAAGTCTGCAGAGACAACACACGTACATGAAACATTGCGAACTATTGAGCCCAAAGTTACTCACTGACTCACTAGCTCGCTGTAAACTTTTACTCCCCGGTGAAAATATCACGACAGAGTAAGACTTCTGTCATCTGACTCTCTACTAGGGTATTACGTGTATTAACCATCACGATAACTACCCTAAATTATAGTTACTATAAAAAGAAACCAAACTTAATGCAGATGATCTGACATCCATCTCCGATATGGCAGATTTGTACCAGATGACGCTTGGATATTTACGAGGATATACATCAAACCAAAATGTATTGAAATCGTCGCGACCTCTTCGATCCTCTCGGAACTCAGCTGGCTCAGAGTTCCATCACCACCGAGTCTACTCGACGCGAGCGTAACAAGAGACTCAACCGCACCATAACTACCCCGCAAGTAGTCCCAACCTCGGAGAACGCCCGCGGGTCGTGTTGGGCTCTGCACGAGAGAGCCCGACCCGCTCCGCATCTACAGTACACTCACTGCTCCCGTCGTCCTCCTCGTAGAGAGTCCTTGCCTCGACGGTCCCCTCTGGCCCTGGGCCGAAGGTGAACACTTCCTTCACGCCCTCGCAATTCTTCGCCAGATCGCTGAACTCCGGGGAGCAGAACACGAACTCCACCTCCTCTCGTCGACACAGTTCCTCCATGTGATCTGACGAGCAAAATAAATGCAACCGATTCACGCTGGCAACGCGACACGCTCGAAAATCAACCGAAAACCAACGCAACCCACGAAATCCGATTACGCGTGAACAGAAAACAACCCAAACGTAGTCTTCGGTACACCCTCGACCACGCCGACTTCAAGGCCATTCCTTCGTCGTCAGAAGTCTTTTCAGACATTTCCGAAGCACAAGTCATGCCACGAATGGTTGCAGCATGAACTTCAGGGCCATCCGTGGTCAACTTTTTGCCCCCTTACGAATATATTCGCATAAATGATCCCGAACTTTTTAGCGGCCGTCCTCTCGTCGTAATGATTTCTGCTGTCTAATCTTATTTCTTTCGAGGAATGAGATTTCTTCTCTCGATCATTTCACAGGGAAATGATGTGGCATCGGTCGCTAAAAATCAATTATTGACTTGGTCGATTTAAAAAAAATGATAATATCGGTCGGTCATTTCCTCGTAGACCCGGATCACAAATTAATTCTGTCTCAAGCATTATTTTCTTCCCTTTGATTCTCCAAGACTTTGAAAGAGGCACTTTCTCTTTTTACACACTCAAGCAATCTGTAATTCAATCTAAACGTCTTCTTCTGGGAATGAAAACAGAAGGAAAGCTGACGAACCGGCGGCGTAGGCAGGAATGATGAGAGTAGTGACCCCGCACGCAATGGCGGCCCAATTGGCGAGAATGTAATCCATATGGTTGTACCCAGTGAAGCAGACGACAGAAGAGGGGCGGAGTCCCAGTCCGCGCCTGCGCAGCGCCGACGCGGCCCGCCTCACCTTCCCCTTCACTTCATTGAAACGCAGGACCTCCCCGGTCGCGGCGTCTGTCTGCAAACGCACGAGAAATCCCACTGACATTCGAGATTCGCGATCGTGGGGTTGCTGTCCGTCGGGGTACGAAGTCCAACTCGAAATTCCGAGGGACGATGCGACTCGCATGAGGGTGTCAGAAAACTCGAGGCGACAGCAATAATTATCAAGAGGCCTGGTGAGTCGTCATTGGGAATTTCCCAAATTCTCTTGAATTTCCTGTTCCAGTTCCGTGAGGAATTGATTCGCGAGGACCGTCGCCGCCGTCCGTGAACAGACGCAAATGTCGACATTGCAACGGAATAGAAAAATACGCGCAAGTTTGAATCCGACGAGACGCTACTGCCACCGCACGACTCGTTGGGGAACTACAACCCCGATAAGTAGTTCTCGTATGTCAAGCAATAAAAGAAATGTAAAATTTTGGCACATGCAGGATGGCCCATGAAGAAAAGTTGCACTACTTAAGCACTCGCCTTTCCAAAGTAAATTTTAAAAATTAAGTTTTCATCCTTGCTGGAGGAAAATTGTCAGGCATTCACAGACTCACCAAACTCAAATGAGACACCCAAGTGTTTCGAAACTCCTTTGGATCCTCGATTGACCCGTTGAAGGAGGTAACTCGGCGGAAGGAGACTCGCAAGTACTGCTGGCCAGAGGGTCCGAGGAGACATGCTGACGTTTCTTAAGTCTCCACATGGTGGTCGTGAGACCTCAAGCGCTTGTTTCTTTCTCGAGAAGACTAGAGCGCGATAATTGGGCTCGCGAGGATTTTTCAGGCTGACATTCTATATCTGGGATGATGTTAGAAGTGTACTTCCCCTGTGGGACAGAAAGAGTTGCGTCACTCGAATACGCGGGTCGAATTCAGATCCAATAAAGGAGATATGGTCTCGCAGGACTCCTACGGAATGTTAGTACTCAATTGAGTACTATCATAAATCCGATACACATGCAGTCTCGTCATCTAACCGACATTAGCGCTCGTTCATACTCGGGAAATGAAGGACTTTAATGTCCAAACGTTGACGATTCGACGCTGGCATAACTTATTTTCAATGTTGAACTGTGTTTCATTTCGAATTACTTCAACATCCAGGCAAACTTTTGCAAAACATTGAGGCAACATTGTCACGTTGAAAAATCAACCTTTTGCTCAATGTCGACATAACCTTGCTGTGCCGAATGGGGTTTTATGACGGTTCTCGACTTTCATCCCTTCCTTTATAATAAACCTCACGGACAACTGGGAAGGCACAGTTGATTATAACTTATAATTATAGTTAATCACAGTTTACAGCTTTAAAAATACATTCGAAAGATGTGGTCGAAAAGCTGTTGACGATCGACGAAACTCACAATGAACGGCTGATCCCCGAACACCGTCGGATCGTTGCGACGGAAGAAGAAGTCGAAGAGAGTGACGTCACGCGGGGCATCCGACACGCGATAGCGCGGAGACCGCGCGATCTTCCCGACCCAGCTCATCTCTGCACGAGGAATGGGACGAGGGAAGATGGAGGAGGGAAGGAGGGAAGGAGGGAGGGAGGAAAAAGGCGTCATGACCTTCAAGCGTTCCCTAAAGCGCGGTGAAGGTCGTGAAGAACAACTCTAGGGACGAATTAATGACTTCGAGCCTGGTTTCTCTCGTGCGAGTCGGGATGGTCACAACGGGGAAGAAACGATTCGGGTCGACCTCTCACTCGTCCCATCGAGTTTTCGGTCTGGTAAATTCTGAGGTGAATGCTGCCTTTATCGAGTTCCCGTTGAATTCCTGTTCCTGCTTCGATTTCCGCGCTATTCTCCTCGCTGTTGCTCCTGCCCTTTACCGACGACCGGCCCCGACCGAATGTCGCCACGAAGGGCGACATTCGAGGGCCACCCTGACTCGAGAGGATTCCCTCCAGGAAAAAAAAAAACCGGCTCTCATCCTTGAGTAATTCCGCGAAGGAAAAAAAAATCACTTGGAAGCCTGAAATGAAACGACCGCCTGTCACATGACCGGCAACAGGGAAGCAAACCGGAAATTTATCTCTTTGGTGAGACCTCGACCACCTATCACATTTACGGAATTTACTTCTCCTTCGATATTTCGAAACCGCACGATGCAAAAGAATATGAAGACGACTTTCACAGCCCTTCACGTCGAACGCATATTTATCATTTATAAATGTTAATGTTTCGTTTGTTTTATGTGCAGTTCTGAAACATTTCGTGCAGTTTAAAACTAGACGAGAATTACTTTTTCGTAATAAAAAAAAATTGAACTTAAAAATGGTATTGAATCTAATTTTCTGCAGCTACTTGTGATTTGGCTTTCGGATTTTCTGTTCTGTGTTTCTGAGTTAAGAAGTTTTCTTCTCCCCTTGGGTGTTTTCAGTCGGCAGCAGAAGCTACTTCTTTTTGGGTGGATTTTTGAACAGAGAACTATCCGATGATGCAGCTTTATTCCAGGGAATTCATAATATTTCCTGGAATAAAGCTGCATCATCGAACAGTTCGAAAATCCACCCTTACTCGATATATACAGGGTGGTACAAAAGTCCCGTAGGAGTTTCTTTCACCGAATCAAATGTTCGAACTGGTTACCTGCTACTGTTGTCTGTGGCCCAAGCCTGCAAATCAGGTAATGGGTTCAAGAATCGGCCTTCGTTTCAGGAAAGAAGAGAACATATTATTTATTTTCATATTTTCACCCACTGTTCCGTATCTGCTCGAGATTCCCGTGGGTGTCGTTGGACGACCCGAAACTCTTTTCCGGCAGTCAAGTCAGACACCCATCGCTCCTTGGTGTTTCATGGAGTAGATCAAAATCCTCTCTCGAATCGCAGATTTGCAAATATCTTTCAGCTGCGATTTCATCACATTCTTGATGAAATGCGAGAGGATATTAGAGCGTAGGTAACGTGTTTTATATTTCGAAGAAGTTCCCTTTTTAATCGCATGCAAACGCAAATTCTCTAAGAAGGGATTTTCTTCAGTATATTTTGATTCACGGAAAAACAAGAAGTTTCATTTTTTTCGGGCTTGCAAGCATTTTATTATCGTCCCTCTCATCGGAATAGAGCTCAAATTGCACAATAAACCAAACTTGCTTTAAAATGGCCGTTATAAGCATCGCAAATGGAAGTTAGTCAAATTAGCGGTTGCCCAATTGGAAACATGATATGCGCTGAGATTCAGATGAGTAAGCACGATTATAATTATGATAATTATGATGATTATGATAATTCAAATTCGCAAGAACGACAAAGCAAGGGTCAGTAAATGGATTAAAACAGGAACGAGAAGAAAATATTCCAATCGAAATCGGAAAACGTTTCCGATTTGTCTCGCTGTCCGTTTGCGTCCACGAAGCCTTTTGGCTTCTCTTCACCTGAAAATAAAAAAATAAAAGAGGAGACAGCGAAGAAAATGCTTCACTGATTCTGTGATTTTTTCAGTACAACCCAGTCAAAATTTTTTCGACGGGCCATCGATGGCTTTTCGCCGACGCGCATATAAGCCGGAGTTGGGCCATCATACAGGGTGTCCGTAAATGATTTTTCCGATTTTGATGTTTTTTTACTCCGACTTTGTTTAAGTAGCTGCTTTGAAATTACACGTAAGATGAACTCTGAAAGTTTGAATTTGACGCAAGATTGCAAGTTGTGCATTCTGCCCGCCGGGCAGAGCTAATTCGTCGGTAAGGCAAAATGGTGTCCGGGCCGGAGAAAGCTTTCCGTGTCTTGGCGTTTCATGAGACAAAATCGGTTGTTACAGAGCAGAGACAGTTCCGACGGAAGTATGGGAAGGCTCCTCCAAGCCAGCCATCAATTCGTGCTTGATACGAGCGTTTTGTTAGCGACCGCTGTGCGTGTAAACGCAAAGCACCGGCAGACCGTCCGTGAGCGCATTGAAACAATTCGGCAATCATTTCTACGCAGTCCCCAAAAACGCCGTGCCAGTCGGGAACTTAGCATGCCGAAAACAAGTGTCTGGCAGGTTCTTCGCAAGCGCCTTCATTTGTGGCCATATCGATTACAGATGTTGCAAAAGTTGAAACCTTCGGTCAAAGTGAAGCGGTATGACTATGATTACATTGAACACACATTGAACTTGATTAATGATTTTGTGTAGGTCAATAAAAACTGTTAAAGTTGTTCTTTCGGTTGGTATGTGTTTCATAAGTGTAGCTTGAAGTAACGCTGAGTAATAAAATATCCAAATCGGAAAAATCATTTACGGACACGTATGGTAGGCTTGCGGTTAGTTTAAGTCGGCTTATAGTCGCCATGTTCTGTTGGCCCTTCTTTGGCTCATTGTTGGGAGAGTGCACATGCCTCAACCATCGGCGACATTTCACAATGGTGAAAAGGTATAGGAAAAAAAAATTGCATCTTCGGCATTATGAATCTTGGGGGCGATGAGAAAGCACCTTTTCACCTCTTACTGCTCCTACTACTGAGTACCTTACATAGGTACACTCCTACCGCCAAGAAAATCCCAAGCAATGCCTTTTCTGGATACTGAGGCATCCAGAAGCTGAATCACGTGGAAATGCAAGAGTATCCAACCTCCCGCAAAAGGTTAGACACACCTTACACGTAATTGAACACGGAAGACAATGTCTTTCAACGGATGTAATACAGTCTCGTTGCCGATTGTGGAAAGGAGAAGGATCCTCCCACGGACCTCCGGGCCGGAAGTTCCTGGTTTATTCCAGAGCAAGGTTACATCTTCAGAGAAATGTTGAAAGGAATTCAATTGTCTTCCTCTGAGATCTATGTGAGAAACCATAGGGAACCCCGTCCAAGGGACAGGGGACTCATCTCAGTAGTATATGGGAAGTGACTCCCCACTACGACCACTTTGGCTCCATCTCACGTCGGTTTTCGGAACCCTCTCAGCCACATTGGCCTATTTTCGGCAAATGATTGGCCGACCAACTCACAAGTGACTCACGAGTGCACAAGCCTGCCAATCATTCGCCGAAAATGGGCCAACTCCCCCAGCAATGGCCCGAAGTTAAACCAAAGAAAATTTTTGACTGGGAAGGTGGAAAGTATCAATAAAAGAATTTCTACGATTTGCTAGTTAGACAAATCCGACTAATTGAGCCTGGGACTACGACCTTTCCCTTTCGGGGCATTTTCGTTCCCAGTTGGAAATAAATCGTTTACGTGAGGAAATGTCCAGCTTGCTGCAGAAAAAAAATTTCACACGAAAAGTTATGACCAGCGCCTACGGTAAGCCGTTTCCAGGCGTGATCAGGAGGCTTTTTCCAACCGGGATTCACTTTTATTTGTAGCTGGAACCGACATCAAACGTGATGGCCTCACCTCGTACATGCTTCACACTTGAGCGAGGGGTTGGAGCTCCCTCCGTCTCACCTTCCCGGCCGGACAGAGGGGGATCTCGTCCAGGAAGGCCACGCCTCCCTTCAGCCAATGCTCCTCGCTCAGTCGACCTAAGAGATATCACCGGCGAGTCTTCATCTTCCATCGAAACTGCTGGTAGGGGTCATGTATTCGTACGGACAAAAGAGGGAGGGAGGGGGGGGGGGGGGGGGACTCCAGCAACACTGTTATTGCAAGATGCGACATTGCAAGAAACAAGAACAATTATGCTGCTTCTGGTGTTCTGTTCACCGTGTCACCAGTGCATATAACTTGAGAAAATATCGTCAAAAGTAAGAGCATATTATTTATTTTATATCACATGACTTGGGTTGCATCATACGTGGATTTGTCGCTTCATGTTTCAAAATGTATTGAAGTCTCTTGAAGCGTACTCCTAAATTCCTTGAACTCGTCACCGACTTCAGCATCATCTGCCGTCCTCGTTCATGCAACGGGTCCAAACCTTTATCTACTCTGTAGTAATTATGACACACCCCACGAAAGTAAGTAATCCCTTGTCTAAGCCATCGTGCATCTTTTTCCGGATCGAGTGCCTTGACACCCCGACCCATCGATTCAAGCAGTTCCAAGGGTGAAGGCGCCGTCATAACTCATTCGTACCAAATAAACAATGTCAGGAACACATTCAAGTGTCATCCAATAGCACCCTCCAGCACAGTAGAAGTCATCAAAAGAATCCCGTTACATTCAAAGGCGGAAACTCCAAACCTGAAGGAGATCGGGGCTACACGGAGGAGAGATCACGGGAGAGTCGGATTTGGAAGGACAGAGAAGAACGAGCTGGGTGGACCTGAGCTAATGGGCTAATGGGAGGGAGGATTTTGGGACTTCCATCCTTTTCCACATCTCTAGAGTTCATTTATGGAATCTTTAGCTTCTCTAGGGGAGTTTCTCCTGGATCTTTGACTGTTTCCCTGTGTTCCTTCTGTCGTGCTTGTTTGCGCGCCCCATCATTTCATTCTCTTTTTAGTGGCCCTCCTTTCCTGAAAGGAAAGAGTCCACTTATGTACTCGTCCTGCCCGTCCGTGTGTTACACTTCGGTTGTCCGACGATAACCAAAAAAACATTGGTCTGATCAATACGAAAATTGGCTAGCGGTAGATATGAACAAGGTACAGACCGAGTTCGTTTTTGGGGGGGAATTTGCACCAAAATTGGCATTTTTATTTCAAATTTTAATTTTAAATTTGGTCACGGAGGGGAAGGCACGAGTAAGGCGTGAGCCCTTCAGGATGTCACAATGCGCATGCGCGCACGACCCAGGCTTTGAGCGCGGCGCCGCGTCAGCAACCAGGGCTGTCAGTTCCCTACACTCTTAGAAAAGAGTGAGCGATTTCCGAGAAAGGGAGCGAAACTGGAGTTAGCGATTTTACTCCCTAAAAACAAGGGAGTTATGTCGTTAGCCTCTCTCTTTCCTGAGGATAACCACTAACTTTTTCTACTGGTTTGAAAAGTACTCTCCCTCCCTCGCTTTGCGCTCTTAAAAAAAAGTTATGGATTCTGCTCATATAAAGGAGTAGTTATCGATTGTACTTCCTCGTTTTTGAGGAGTAAAATCGCTAACTCCAGTTTCGCTCCCTTTCCCGGATATTGCTCACTCTTCCAACCTTCATGGCGGATGCATCCAACCACGCACAGCCCTCCATCCTCCCATCATCGTTTCATGGGCACCGTTTGTCTAAGTTAACCAAATATGAATGAGAAATGAAGTTTTTGATGGTCGAAGATCGGATAGAGATTGCATTTCGTTCAATTAGGTGAGAAAAAAAATTAGGGTTTCCTTAACTGAAAGGAGGCCCACTACTCGACTGGGCTTGCCCAACTTGTTTGCTGTTATGGCCATGGGATCGAGTCGACAGTCTTTGGGTAGAATCAAAAATTTCCATCACCAAGACAGCAGTGTATGTGGCCATAGATCGGCGTAGCTGCGGCGTTTCTGTGACTCTTCAGTGGTTCGAGTCGACTATCTGTGGCTCAGAAAGGTCTTGCACACTTAGTCCACACCTGGTGGACGTGGATGTTTCACGCACAAGTGCAATCCGACTGAAGGTTAGTGAAAACTTTCCCAAATGGTTTGAAGCCCTGATGAGTACCGTACGTATCATTTTGAACATAAGAGATGCATACCGCATACCGGAAATTAGGGATTGAATTTGTGCATACGCCATAAGGCATAAAGGGATGGAAACTCCCCTGAAACGTTCAATAATTAGTACGGTTCTGTGGTATATCCACTCCTGTATTATCCAATGTCTCCTGCCTATTCATGTTTCAGACTCGTGCTTGGGCAGGGGGTTGTGCCAGTACCAGCAGTACTAGTACTGTAGATAGAAATTCCTCCACCATCGTAGCAGGTTGCCGCAGAAAAAGCGGACATATATGGAGTGGTCCACTCATGTGCCAAGTTGGTGCCATGCTTCCACTGGAAACACACTAACTAGGCTCTTTTTGACATGGATGTGCTCCACGCATATGCCACACTTAGCTCACCGATGCATTAATGGCTGGATGCCGCAGAAAAAGCGGACATCTATGGAGTGGCCCACACATACGCCACGTCGGTGCCATGCTTCCACGTGCAGACAGACCAATCAGGTTATTTTTGTCAATATCGTGCCCCACGCACAAGCCACACTTCGCCTACCGATGAAGGTGCCACAGATAACTCGGACATTTCCAATACGGCCCATGCACATGCCACTCATGGCCCATGGATGTATGTGTGGCTTATCTCCGAGGTTCACGTGTTACATGCTTGGGCATGTAACACGCGAACCTCGGAGATAAGCCACACTTGGCGCGGGGATAAATTGCTGACTGGGTAGATTTTATCATGGAACTTGTAGTTTTCCTTGGAACTTGCTGGACCGTACCCAACATCTGTCAATCCCCGACTTTTATTAATACCGGGATTATTCCCAATCTAATACGTGACGGTATTTTGGCCGGAGTAAAGGTTTGAATCATACGGAAACCTCATGAAAATTCATTTCACCGAGAAGTTGTTATTCTGAAGGTTCATTTTAAAGATCAATTCGTTCAATTTACGTCGGTCATGCCACCCAATTCAGGAATGAAACAGGAACTCATTAAACTTCTATGGTACTTTTTCCCTCCTCTTCCACTCATTGTGCCAATTGGAACCCACATCAATGTATTCCTCGGATTTTCTTTCTTTTTATAGTTTTATATTATCCCTTCCGAATCCTTACGTGAGACGAAATCCTGAAGTTCCTCAGCGGTCTCAACGGACTTGGACCGATGATGTTTGAGCTTCACGAAGGCCCGAGGGACCTGAGCATCCGGGGTCTCCGCCGATATTTGGACCCCCGTCACACCGACCCTCTCCACGTCCGGGTGTTGATACAAACAGTCCTCGATCTCCGATGGAGAAACCTGCACGAGCGAAAACGACGAATTGAAACGTGGGTAAAAACTGTCATAATCCCCTCAGACTGGAAGTCCATCCATGTTCCCGTACTCCACCACTCCACACAATTCGAGACAAATATCCCTTTTTCCACCACTTACTTTCTATTCCGGAAAGCCTTCTTTGACTACCAATCCCCCCGCCCCTCCATAACCATCCTCCAAAGTCCAGCTGACCCCGAAGCTGGACATCCAGCCCACCTCATAGAGAGCACGCAACTGACCAGCTGCTCCCGATCGGAGGACACGACCGGCATGAGCTCCTTCACCCGGTCGATCACGTAGATGTACCCGTCCTCGTCGATGAAGCCGTAGTCCCCAGAGCGGTAGAACCCGTCCTCGTGGACCACCTCCTTGGTCAGCTGCAAGAGAGGACATCACAGTTGCGACCTCACGAATTATAACGTCCTTGGATTATCATGACGCCACGGAAATTCTCAATGGCGTCGTCACTTGGTACGATTTGTCATTATGTCATGAATTATCATCGCGATCTCTTCGAGCAAGAGATCTGTGCAAACGGAACTAGTAACCAACCGGAGAGAAAAAACCCGTGAGGCCGAAGGAAACTCCAAGCATTCCGTGCGAGAAATCGCTTACCTCTGCCGGCGACCGATACCCTCGCATGAGAGACGGCGTGCGATAGCACAATTCCCCCCTCGCCCCGGGTCCAAGAGCCTCCCACGTCCCGAGCTTCACCACCTAAGAGAAGAGAGAAAAGGGGAATCCGTGGAATATCGCTGAGGGAGGGTGGAGGGGGAGAGGCGTCTCACCTTCGCTTCTGCGAAGGGGGCCAGTTGCCCCACGGATCCCTTCTTGGGTCCTGCGGGGGAGAAGTACCCCGCCGTCAGAAGCATCGTTTCGGTCGAACCGTAGATCTTTGGCCACAGGGAGTAATCGCAAAAACAGCATTAAAATGAGATTAAATAAAAGGAAAGCCTTGGAAAGGACCATGAAAATCCAACAAAAAGTATAAGTCATAAAAACCTTCAAAGAAAACCAATAAGCAATAAATGCAGCCAATGCACTTCGAAAACGCAACGCAGCATCTGCACTAGTAAAAAAAAAAAGAGAAAAGAAGTAAAGTAGTTATAAGGTAGATATAGAGCGATCCCAGAAATTTCTAGCCACACATCGTATGCTCCTAAAATGCTATTCCACCGCAATACCTCCTACTCTCCTCAAAGTTAGTATTCCAGTAGATAGGATTCCCCCATGCAAAATAGAAACGACCGCGATGAGACACAGACCTCGATGTATTCTTTGATGTTTGGAAATTTTTCCCTCAATTGATCCAGGACGACATGACCGGTGTGAGTCCCTCCGTAGATGACCATCTCGACGCTGTCCAGGCGGAATTGCTCCGTCAGGTCGCTCCTGGCCAGGTTTATCACCTCCCTTGACATGCATGTCACCACGCGGGGCTACGAGAAAGACGGACTTTAAAGCGCTACACGAGTCGGGAAAGGAGGGTAGAGTGCTGAACGCCGAGTTTTCCGCATCCGAGTAGGTCTCTAGGGCCCACCTGGTATCGTTGAATGGCAGACAAGGTGCCGAGGAAGTCGCTGGCGCGTGCGGTCACGATATGAAAACCGACCAGTAACCCCACCAGTGATGTCGTGAACCCCGAGATCAACCCGAAGTGGTAGGGACTCACGGTCGCCACTCCGACCCCCTCCCCCGGTTGTCTGAAAAACCGAGCGAAAATGAACCTCCGGTCGGATTGGACCGCCCGCCACGTTAGAGAGTTTTCGATACTAAAAAGTATGGCTCGACAAATGTATCGGCTGTTGCACAATCGGCAGGGTTGCGAGCTGCCGATGCCGATGCCGATGCACGAAGAATAGGCAAAAAAGAAAGGGTGTCCCTGTCTGAAAGCCCACCTCCCCCAGGCGAATATATCGATCGGATTATATTTCAGCCGTAGTGTAATAGCCGGCAGAGGAAGAGAGCTCTAATGAACCTCGTTAATTAAATATCGGTTATGACAGTAATAGTAGAAATAAAAATTAAAAACGTATGTAAATTAGTGGTAAATGCACCTTCTTTTCAATAATGCCTTGCGAAAAGCGCGTCATTAAACGCTTTTAAGAACAGCAATAGATAACAAAACTGACCGGCTGGACGAGACTAATAGTGGTTTCTGTAGGCCTTTTTCATTTAGTTGGTGATATGTTATATTCTTCTCGACAACCACAATCGGCACAGGGGGATGGGTTTCAAATCAAAATTGGCCATCGGTACAGCCCTACTAAGACATCGGCTTACACATGCAGACATCTTTCTTGACGAGCTTTCCAACCCTTAACTGAATCCCAAGCGAGAACCGGTAGTAACCTCCCCATCAACCCAGTGATGCCGGATCCCCCGACCTGTCGGTGTTGAGGATTGCGGCGATGACGGAAGCGTGCGTGTGCTCGATGTTCTTGGGCGGCCCCGTCGTCCCGCTCGTGTAGAATATCGCCACCGCGTCCTCGCTCGGCCTCAGCCCCGACTGGCTCGGGAAGTCTGGGGGAAAAAGGAAACATCCTTGAAACACTGGACGACACTGGGTCCAGTGTTACACACCGGCCCACCTGCGCGCCGTCAACTTTAAACGGTCGAGGAAACGTTCACTTTCCCGATGACGACTTCTGTTATCTGACTGACTTCGCCGCTGGAATGTGCAGGCAAGTTAGCGGAAATAGTTCCTAATCTTAAGAAAAACTCATTCGAGTGCCTTTTAGCTTAAGACCTGTACACATCTAACTCGTGACGGTAACAGCAACAGCAAATGGCCTTCGAAAACTCAACGTCCCGACCTCTTGAATCGTCTCGAAAGTTAGCTGACGCAGTGAGCAGCGCAGAGTCGACCTGATGCCAGCGTGACTCGAGTCCTCGACCGCACAACTTCCGTCGCATGTCGGCCCTCACCCAAACGAACGCCCGCGGGCCGCGTTGGACTCAACCCGAGAGAGTCCGACCCGCTCCGCATCTAAACTCACTGCTTCCGTCGTCTTCCTCGTAGAGAGTCCTTGCCTCGACGGTCCCCTCTGGCCCCGGGCCGAATGTGAACACTTCTTTCACGCTCTCGCAATTCTTCACCAGATCGCTGAACTCTGGGGAGCAGAACACGAACTCCGCCTCCTCTCCCCGGCATAGTTCCTCCATGTGATCTGACGTGCAAAATAAACACAACCGATTCATGCTAGAAACGCGACTGAAAATCGACTGAAACGATACAATCGCGACCACTCCAATGCCTTCCTTTCGTCGTCAGAAGTCTTTTAAGGCATTTCTGACTTAGACATTTTGAATGCTTCCAAAAAGCATGCTTCGAAGAGCCATCCACGGTTAGCTCTATGGGCCTCTTGCCCGTATATCGACCGAAATGAACCTTTTGGCGTTCATCTTCTTAAACTCCGTCGTAACTGCATAATGCTGTCTCGTCTTGTTTTCATTCCAGCAATGAAATTTCTTCAATTTGTTTTTCTCAGAGGAATAATACGATACCAGTCTCTAAACTCTATCATCCACTTAGTGAATTCAAAACTGGATTATATCGGAGGATCCCTTTCACGTGAAGCCAGATCGATAATTCTCACCCAGATATTACCGCCTTCCCATTTACTCTCCAGAACATAAAAAAGGACTTTAAAGAAGCACGCTCAGGTAATTCAATAGAGGTGCCTTCTTCTGGGAATAAATGCAGAAGGCATACGAACCGGTGGCGTTGAAAGGAATAAGGAGAGAGGTGGCCCCGCACGCAACGACGGCCCAATTGGCAACGACGTAATCCACATGGTTGTACCCATGGAAGCAGACGACAGAAGAAGGGCGGAGTCCCAGTCCGCGCCTGCGCAGCGCCGACGCGGTCCGCCTCACCCTCCCCCCCACTTCATTGTAGCGCAGGACCTCCCCGGTCACGGTGTCTGTCTGCAAAACCACAAGAAATCCTGCTGAGATTCGAGATACAAACGGTAATCGCAGAGTCTATCGAACTTGAACTCTCTCGAGACGACGCGACTCGCGTCGAGCTGACTGAGTGAGTCGCGTGGTCACGAATGACAATAACGCAATGGAGTGCAAAAACGCGTGTAAGTTTGGGTCTGGAGTGACACCGCTGCCATTGCGGAACTACAGCGACATGTTATGACTAATGCATGTTAAAAAAAATAAACATACAGGGTAATAAGCTGCATCGTGTAACTGCTCGCCATTCACAATGAAGTGAAAATAAATAAACTTTTCATCCTCACCCTTTAAAATGCAAATTTCTTGCATTCACGGACTCATCAAACAAAAACGAAAATCCCAAAAGTTTTTAATCTCCCTTGCCCCTTCACAATCCCAGCGGGGAATCTCGGAGAAATTCCCGCGGAGATGAAGGGCTTCGAGCCCTTGCGTGTTCGGGCTTTAAATCCTAATATGACCATTTTATAATGTAAAATATTTCACTTCAGACTTATACTTGAACAAACTTAGATTTAAGAATATTAATTTTTTTCTTGCATGACGGAAGTCCTTCACTTTTCCTTGATTCCTACCGTTTTGTGGCGGTCTTCGACCAACCCCGCGGACAACGGTCGAGGGACAGTTGTTAATAATTATTAATTATAGTTAATCGCAAGAAATACATTTAGTAATACATTTATAAGATCCAGTTAGAAAGCGTCGATCCACGGTCGACGAGACTCACGATGAACGGCTGATCCCCGAACCTCGCCGGATCGTTGCGACGGAAGAAGAAGTCGAAGAGAGTGACGTCACGCGGGGCATCCGACACGCGATAGCGCGGAGACCGCACGATGCTCCCGACCCAGCTCATCTCTGAAAGAGGAATGGGACGAGGGAGGGAGGGAGGACGGAGGACGGAGGGAGGGAGGCATCACGACCTTCAAGCGTTCCCTTAAGCGCAATGAAGGTCGGTGCGACAGACGTCGCTCCAGGAACGCACTATGGAAATCGTCTCGGGTCTCCGGCGATTCGGGATGGTCGCAGCGGGGAACAAACGAATCAGGTCGACTTCTCACTCGTCCGAAGTTTTCGGTCTGGGTGAATCCTGCCTCCGGGACCATCGAATTCTTCTTCGATTCCTGTCGAATTCCTGCTCCTGCCCTTTACAGACGACTAGCCCCGACTGAATGTCACCACGAAGGGCGACATTCGAGGGCCGACCCCGACTCGAGAGGATTCCCTTCTCGAGAGGAAAACAAAGACAAAGGCTCTCATCCTTGGGCATTCCGTGAGGGAAAGAAAACAAACCGCCAATTCGTCTCTTCGGTGAAAATGAAAATTGCCATCACCTTTACAGGACTTCATCATTCTATATTTCGACACCACACGATGAAAACAAAGTTTTTTTTTTTGGGAGAAGACTCCATTCGTATCGAACATAAAGTTATCATATATATATACATATCAATATGTCTTTTGTGGATATTAAATGGTATCAAAGGATTCCACGAGAAAGTTATCGGAAAGAGAAAATATTTTTTGCATACGTTTTAGTTTTCCTTGCATATTTCCCGCGTATTTAGAATTTCATTTAGCAACTTTTCCGCATACTTTGAGCATATTTCCTACATATTTCACATTATATGGAATATCCAGCCTCTCAAGCGGGAATGAGCTTCTTGCGATGCCGGATCCCCCCGACCGGTATTGTCGAGACAGCCGGTGACGCCATCAAGGCGTCCTTGATGCGACGGCACAGGGCGATTAGTTAAGGCGGGAAGAGGACGAAATAACCGAGTCGTCCAAATTCGCGTCGTCGAAGAATTGCGGCATACAGACATCTAAGCCACGAACGTGGGCGTGCGCATTGATCGCTCGCTGACACGCAAAAACGACCACAAAACAAAGTAGAGCCCTCGTCGGCGTTCGCGGAAGAAAAATTCCCCAGAACTTCAGAAACCTGGTCGTCGAAGAGTCACAAGCACATGCAAGCTGCTTCTAAACCGATCTAACGATCGGCAGCCAAAATTCATTTCCAGACTCGGCGCCTACGCAGCTAGAGTCTTCCCCCGCATCACATCTCCCGCAAGTCGGTCCTCACCCGAGTGAACCCCCGCGGGCCGCGTCGGCCCGAGAGAGCCCGACCCGCATCGGATCCGCAAAGCTCCCGTCGTCTTCCGCTTTGACGGTCTCCTCTGGCCCCGAGCGAAAAACGAAAACTTGCGGCGCGTCCAGGCAAGTCATGGGGCGTGTCTTTTTCTCCAACCGCTTCCAGCTGCTGCCAGAAAAAAGACTGCCAGCAAAAAACACGACCACGTCATTAAATGACGTCACTCTGGGGCAAGCAGCTGCCATCAGAATATAGCGAACTACGAGAGCGCTGAGCAGCCCAGCCCTACGATGACGTCATGGGATGCTGGAGGCCTCAGCAGAGATGGCAGAGCCGCTAGGAAAAAAAAACGCCCATGTCCTTCCCTTTCTCTCAAAACTGCTAAAGGGTCGACGACAGTCCGACAATTATAATAAGTTCAGCTTTTCTAAGACAAATATGAACAAACGGAAGTCAAATGTGACTAAGGAAAGTCAAATGTGTCGCTGTGCTGGATGCCGGACTTTAGGGAAAAGCTTGTTCGACAGAATGAAAGTCAAATTCGACAGTTGAGACTTGAGGCCTTATCTCTTGGTCGTGCTCCAAGAGAGATGCCCTCTTCGCGCATTTCTGTTGAAAAAAATATTCAAATGCAAATTCGCAAGTGCATGTGCATGCGGACTCACTATTCCATTTACCATGCACACAATGTTTGATTTCAATCCATGAGAGTGAAAACTATGGGTAGTATCCAATGGAATCCAAGATTCGTGGAAAGAGATCAAACTTCTCATGCAATTCAAATGTGAGACTCATGATGTGGATTCAGAGAGTTCCTCATCCATCAGGATATCAGGTCATCGGTAACCTTAAATGAGAGGTTCAAATTGCATCCTGGATTATGAAGAGAAGTATATCTGTCGTGAAATCAACGGTTTGATTTTGAGAGTAACATAGAAGATACCACGTATATAGCAGAGTATATCATCACAATATCACTCAACTGTCGCATTTGACTTTCTTACGTCCATATTTGTCTTAGAAAAGCTATAATCCACGCCGTCACAGCACAGAAGCAGACGACAGAGGAGGGGCGGGGTCCCAGTCCGCGCCTGCGCAGTCCTGACGGCATCCCTCTCGCTCTCCTCCACCCCCTCCTCAGTACCGGTCTGGCATTTGCTCGTGCAAAGTCGTCGAAGGGCCTCTAGGACGGATTTCGGGAATGCCGAATGAGCTCCACCCCTCGACGATGGGCTGTCGGCTTGAGATCGGAACCGCGTGACGGTAGATTTGCTTTCCGTGCGGTGTGAACATTCCATCTCTGAACTGAGCAGTCAAAACATGGCATCCGTCGCAGTTTACAAGTCACCTTTCGTCGACCGATTGCAGGAGACTTTGGATGCACGAAAACTCCGCAGGTAATAAAATGCCTTTGGGAGGCGGCGGATGCACCTGCAATGCATATGCCATTAACGTAATTCTATTTGGAGGGACGTTCCTTCTGCTCGTTAGATGTCTCTCGCGGAAGGTGGGAGATTGGGGCGAGGATTAAAATTGACTTGTCTGCAGGGTGTTCAGAAGAATATTTCTTCTAAGATACTTTTTAATCGTAATTTTTTTCTAAATGCTGGTTGTCGGGTGGAATAAGTTGGATGTTTGGATTTCATGAACATCACATAATAACCAGTTGCGTCAGAGGCTGTTGTCACCTGGAGTATTCCTGAAAGAGAAGCAGAAATTTCAGACTCATCACCCCCACGAGGAAATCTCATCGTTCTGGAATCTGGTTGTTCCGAAGCAACAAAAAAAAAGCCATCGATGGCATGACCTTCGGATTCCCGTTTGCGTTAGGATGGTGAGAGTCCAAATAAATTATTCGGGTCGTATAGCCGACCCCACCCCCGTTCCGCTATACCGGACCAAACTGACGACATGGACGTTGGCGAGGCGAGGCGGGGCGGGACGGGGGGAAGGGTCGAGCAAAACAACGTGGAATTCGACCTTCTTCATCTCCCAACTTATCTTTCCTGTCACGAACACGCGCAAGGAATTCCCCGTGCGTGTCATTCCACGCCCGAAATGGGCATCGGTCGCTCACTCGACCTTCAGGAATCCGTGCCCCTCACGAGTAAGGGCGTAAAGTGCACCTAGAAAAAAAAAAATCCTGGAGTAGGAACCAGGACAGAGCAGCATATCTAGGGTAAACACCCTAGTTTTTGGCCACGCTCATACTTCCTCCCATAGGAAGTGGACACCCTGTGCGTACACCGGGAAACGCTTGAAAACGACCAAATTAACTTATTATGCTGGATTTAAGCCTCACTGGCCAACAACTGGAGACCGACCAGAAACTGGGGTGCTTACCCTACTTGTATAAACAAATTGGGAAATTGCAAATACCGAAGTACGGGAGTCCAGGTACTTGCACGGAGCCCTGAGAGGAGCACACCTTTCCAACCATAAATCGATTCAAGTCTCGAGGGAGTTCCGTCCCGCAGAACTGAAATGAGGGACACAGCGTACAAATTCGAAACTCCGAGGAACGAAAGGGAGAACGAAGTAATGTGAAAACCACTCTTCAGAGGCTTTCCAACGTTAGGCCAAGGCCTAACATTGAGGTCAGGCCTAGGCCTACCTTCTTTCGTTCAAAAGAAACTCAATCCTCGACTATTTGGGCTAATCAGGCCCAATTAGGTCGAATCCCATGATCTTCGACACATCTCGTAGTAAACGTGTAACGTTAGATCGATTAGAAGCCTGTTTCAAGTTTCATGAAACATTTCAGCGCGAATGTGGAACGTTGGGCCTATCTAGAGTTCCTCGAACCAACTCGATTAGTAGTAAGGAGAGAATGCATTCAGGAAGCATGAAATACGAGCTGGGCGCCATCTTGTATAATTAAGGGATGTCCGAATGAGATATTGCCACGTCCCACCGAATCGATCGGCCGCTGCTAACCACCGGTTCGACCTCAGCTCATCTCGTGAACTTGACAAAAAAAGTCCCATACATTGCATAACAGAAGTTCCAGAGGCCGATAAGAAAGGCCGAAGCAGTCATGAATCTGATATAACTCCGGCACGATATCCGGCAACACTGGGGGATAGGACTGGAGCCAGCACTAAATAAGCAACAGCTAATTTTTTATGGCGAAATGTTGCATCGCAAGCAACAAAAGGGCACTTTTCATCTTATGGTTGGTCTCGTCCGTCCGAAAAAACCTCCCAGGAGTGGCCAAGGGGCGAGGAGGAAAAAATTACCGAAAGGAAATTCACTTCTTCAAAAAGCGAAAATCAATGTTCTCCGCAACCTGAGGGAAAAAGACGTTGAAAAAAGAAGAAGATAAGAAGAAAAGTTCTCGATGGCTCGCGCGTCCGGGTCGCGTGGAGACGGGATGGGAGTATGAAGCGTAGGATGCCAGATGTGGCATTTCACGCGTGCGTCCAGCAACCCTGTTTACGCGACCGCAAGCAGCCACTCTCTCCACATTTTCCCACAGTACCTATGGGAATGGCAGATTTAATGAGGGCATGGACGCTGTCCTCCCTCAGTCTCGCTTGCCACCGTTCGCACGACGCCGTTCCTTGCCTCGAACCTGCCGTAAACGAATTTTTCCTTCGAAGTCGACTTCATGGACGTGCGAAGGCAAGGTATGTCCCTTCGTGCCTCAAGTGTCATGCCACATCGCTCGGCTCTTAATAATAAAAAAAAGAAGTAAAGAGAGGCGCCAATCCACTGGGATCAGAAACTGCGATGATGCGTAATAAGCTGCAATTCGAGCCTGCGCATGCATCCGAGAGAGCCAACTCTCATCTGGAAATATAACTGTCCTCCGTGGACGAAGACCTAGAAACGCGACAGGAAAGAAGATTGAAGGCAGAAGCGGATAGCTTTTGCGAAGAGGAATTGGTCTATGGCCTTTAAGCTGCGGTTTCATCGTGCATTCTTGAATAGGCATGAGGGAATGCGCAATACTTTAAAATATCTTCAGTCATCGTGCATCCCAGTCACGATCCAGAGATCTGGAAATACCTAAGTTGAAATGTAAGTAAGTTTAAATCCGAGTAAAAGATGAAACCACCTTTTCATCTTTTACTTGGATTTAAACTTGTTAAGGTTGAGGCTTTTCTTTATTATGTCGAAATCTATCCTGTCGTTGTCGACAGCATGCGGATCATCTATGTGGTCCTGCTAAAATTAGGCGAAAGTGAATGTGCCTCAAATTCCTGAATGAATGATGGCACGACTTCTCTGGCGGTTATTTGAACACGAATTTGCCTTCAGTCACTGCTCGTGCAGTTGCGGTTCTGGCATCTCCAGCAAGTCTCCTTACTGCAATGCTTGTCCTCGGATGGCCACATGACCGTGCAGAACCAGCAGCCCCTTTCCCTTCTGGGAAACATCGGAACACACTTTGCACGCGTTCACACACCTGGACACCCTGTATGGAACGAGAGGAACCAGAATCTGTCCGTCTCGAACACTATCTCCCCATCAACGGGAGCTGGAGTATACGCTGAAAGATACCGGGACTGCTCCGGGTCATGACTCGGTCTACTCGCTGGGCTCACAATTTTTCCTATGAATTCCAAGATTTCGAAATTCCACGTGTTTTCGACGACTTTTCGCATGCGTATTCTTGAACATTCGAGGATAGTTAAATTCGACTATTGTTCGAGAGACATTCTGTCACAGCGGCAATTTTCCTTGGGGACATCTTTGCGTCTCGACCTTCTTTATTTTGAATTTTTTTGCCGAATGCATCCATGTAACGAAATCGAAACGCAAAAACTCTGTGAGAAAGCTTCCTTAAGTCTATTTCGATTCGTAAAAGAATAAGAAAATGTTCGCCTTGTCCTTAGATGGCTCTTAGAATCTCGAGCAATTGAGAGAATCCCTCCTTGTCGATCGTCATTCTTCCCAAAGTCGCAGTCAAATGGCAGAAATCTCTCGCAAAGATGCTCCTTTATTGCTTTCGAAATATTTACCTTTCATTGCTTTCGAGATATACTCCCCCCCCCTCTCTCTCTCGGCTACGAGAAAGGGGGGGGGGGGGGTAGAGAACTGCGTGGGGAGTTTTTCGTAGGACTCTAAGGCCGACCTTGTATCGTTGGACGGCGGGCAGGATCCCACAGAAGTCGCTGTCGTGGATGTTCACGATATGATAGCCGACCAATAACCCCACGAACGATGTCGTGTACCCCGAGATAAACCTGAAGTGGCAGTTACATACGATCGCAACTCCGACCCCCTTCCCCGGTTGTCTGAAAAACCGAACAAAAAAAAACTGCCGGTCGGTTTCGAACGGCCTGTTCGGGCCCTTGCCACCGAGTTACGAGTAGCTACCATCGGAAGTGATAGTATTCACAGTAGTAAATAAGAAAATTTAAGTAAATTAACTGCAATTGCACCTCCTTTTATGCTACCCTTTTGCGAAACGTGTCGTTAAAACGCTCTCACAGCACAATAGATAGTAAAGCACGCTGAACAGGACTAAGAGTAGTCTCTCTTGGCCAATTTCAATTAGTTTGCGATTTCATGTTACTTTCTTCACAATCTACAGACCACAATCGGCACAGGCCGATTAGTTTCAGATCAAAATCGGCTATCCGTACAGTCCTACCTAGAAGCCATCGGCTTACACAAACGTCCTTCCTCCCGCGCGTTCCTACCACGCTGAACTGAATTCCGAGCAAGAACCACCAGTAACCCCCCCACCGACCCAGTGATGCCGGATCTCCAGACCTGTCGATGTTGAGGCATCCGGCGATGGAGGCGTGGGTGTGCTCGATGGTCTTGTGCGGCCCCGTTGTCCCGCTCGTGTAAAACACCACCAACACGTCCTCGCTCGGCCTCAGCCCGACTGGCTCAGGAAGCCTGGGGTAAAAAGGAACATCCGTGAAACACCTGGGTCGTGTGCCCATGGCCATTGTGATCCAATTCCTGAAAAGCTCACGTGTAGGGTAAAAGACCCAGTGATGGGCCTGTTAATGGCGGGTATTCAGTGATGGGCCACTTCGCAGGAAAATTCCAAAAACTAGGCATTTGATCCATGAACACCTCTAAAGTGTCTATGTGCTTGAATACTGCTAGCATATGTCACAACATAGGTAGGCTTGCTATGGAAGCTTAGCTATTGGAATTTTTATGTGCTGTGGCCCATCACTGGGGACCGGTGCATCACTGGGTCTTTTACCCTACTCATGCCTTCCCTTTCCGATAGCAAAATAAAAATCCAAAATTTGCAATGAAAATGCCGATTCTAGTGCGAATTCGCCACGAAACGAACTCAGCCCGTATCTTTTTCATATCTATCTGC